TTCCCCTATTCCCCACCCCTGCCAGTAACCATCAGTTTGTTCTCTATAGTTAAGAGTCTGTTTTTTGTTTTGTCACTCTCTCTCTTTTTTATCCTTTGCTTGTTTTGTTTCTCAAATGCCACATATTCCACATTCCCCTACTCACTATACTCCAGATGGTCTTCTCTTGGTTCTACAAACAGCTGTCCTATTTCCATATCTTGTCCTTTTCCTGTGCTGCTCCTACCAATCCATGAAGGGGCTGGTTCCCTTGTCACTCAGGTCTAAGCTCAGATACCATCTTTCCAGGGAGGTGACCTGAGTACTATCTAAAGTGTCCACCGCCCCCCCACCCCCCGCCGCCCCACACCTCCTGCCAAGTTACTTTCTATCAGATTACTCTCTTTAATTTTCTTCTTAGCTCTTATTATTTCTAAATTTCTTTTTTTTATTTACTCATTCATTGTTAGTCTTTTCCCCTTGACTAAAATGTAAGCCAAAGAGAACAGAGCCTTGTCCTGTTTCACTCATTGCTGTATTCCTGCCCCTAGAATCTGTTTGGCATATAGAAGGTGCTCAATAAGTATTGGTTAGAGTGAATGAATGAATGTATTTAGTAATGCCTTAGTGTTTTGGGATGGAAACCCTTAGCCCTTTTCTAGTCCCACTTTTAGATATTTCCCTGAGGTAATTTCATCCACTCTGGTGGCTTTTTCTACCACTCTGTCTCCCATATTTGTTGTTTATGTAATTTTCACTTACATAATCAAAGATACTCTTGACTGTTGAGGGATAGGAGCCAAGGGAACTGGCAATAATATTATAAAATACTAATACATTTTAACATTTTGTATTTAGAAGGAACTTAGATTTCATCTACTCCGAATTCATGGCTTACATGTCGATGAAGAAAGTTCAAGATAATAATAAGCCAAAAATCTCACAGCTAGTGGGTAGTAGAACCCAGAACTTCCAGGGTACTTTACTGTTTCCACAGTAGTTATCTGCCTGTTAGACTCTATCTCTCCTTTTGCTAATAACACCAACACACACACACACACACACACACATGCACGCACGCACGCACACACACACACACACACACACACAGAGTTTTATTTTATTGAGATAAAATTCACATGCCATGAAATTGTGCATACCCTTTAGAAGTGTGCAATTCTGTAGTTCTTAAGGTATTCACAGAATTGTGAAACCATTTTTTAATTTTAGAACATGTTCATCACCCCCTAAAGAAACCACATATCTATTTGTAGTCATTACCCCCTCTCCATTTCTCCCTCCATTCTCCAGCCCTAGGAAACAACTAATCTACTTTCTGTCTCTACAGACTTAACCTATTTTGGACATTTCATGTAACAGAATCAGACACCATGTGGCCTTTTGTGTCTGGCTTCTTTCACTCAGCTTAATTATTTCAAGGTTCATTATGTTGGGACACCTGGGTGGCTCAGTCAGTTGAGCATCTGACTCTTCATTTCAGCTCAGGTCATGATCCCAGGATCATGAGATTGAGCCCCGAATCAGGCTCTGTGCTGAGCATGGAGGCTGCTTAAGATTCTCTCTCTCTTTCTCTCTCTCTCTCTCTCTCTCTCTCTGTCTCTCTGTCTCTCTGTCTCTCTCTCCCTCTGCCCCTTTCCTTTGTTCATGCTCTAGCTCTCTCTCTAAAAAAAAAAAAAAATTAAGTTCATCATGTTGTAGTTTTACTTTTTTGTTTTGTTTAATCCCTTTTCTCTAACTGCCTTATTTTAATGTCTTTTTTTATATGTTTATTTTTTTAATGTTTATTTATTTTGAGAGAGAGAGAGAGAGCAGGTAGGGGAGGGATAGAGGGAGAGGGAGAGAGAGAGAATCCCAAACAGACTCCATGCTATCAGAGTACAGAGCCCAATGTGGAGCTCGATCTCATCAACCATGAGATCATGACCTGAGCCAAAATCATGAGTTGGATGCTTAACCACCTGAGCCACCCAGGTGCCCCTTAATATCTATCTTTGAACAAAAATTAAACTCTGAATATCTTGGAAGCCAAAGGCAACAAAGAAAAATACAAATATATTTGTTAGCTCTTGTTAGCTGTAAAGGAAGCACAAAGTTTATCAAGAACACAGTTTTTGTAGCAATATGTTTTGAGGGGAACCATCAATGCAGTCCAATTTCACCATATGGCTCTGTCTTTTGATCATCTAAGGTATATTTCTTGTTTTCTTATTTATACTATTTCCAGTTCTCTTTGGGTTGGGCATGGTGAGCAGTATCGAGAAGGGAGAGAGAACTACCTTGTGGTGTCCTCAGTGACTCTTGTCTTTCTGGGTACAAGGGGGAATTCTTACTCAATTTTTAATAACCCTCCAATTTGACCTCCACTATTAATTCTCAGGATCTTTCTTTCATTTTTGATCACAATCCTTACTTCTTTTTTTAAAAAAATTTTTTAACATTTATTTATTTTTGAAAGACAGAGAGAGACAGAGCATAAGCCAGGGAGGGGGAGAGAGAGGGGGCGGAGACACAGAATCCAAAGCAAGCTCCAGGCTCTGAGCTGTCAGCACACAGCCTGATGCAGGGCTCAAACTCACAGACAGACCATGAGATCACTACCTGAGCCGAAGTCGAAGGCTTAACCAACCCAGGCGCCCCACAATCTTTACTTCTACATCAAATTGGTGAAAAATTTTTACAACTTTATTCCTGAAAAGGTCAAGCACTTTGCCAACTCTTATTCTAAAGTAGGTCTCAAATAATGCAAATACTCTAGTAGATGAGGGGAGAGGACAAGCATTATGCCTAGGGAGAGATGACGGGAGGAATATGATTGTTTGCTGATGTCTGCCTATGGGTTTTGGAAAAGGAAAGTTCTGGCATTTATGCTATGTCTCATATTATTTTTTTTCTTTTTTGGGATCTGAGGTAAAGGGAATTAAATTAAAGTCATGCTCTTCAACCACAGCAAACTATTATCATCAGTTCATGCAAAAGCCCAGCATTTGTTTTGATTTTCCCCTCGATCTCTAATCTGTGCTCACATTCACCTCCCTCTTAAACATGCCTTCCTTCTGTGTTTGATACAGGTCCTTAAGAGACATGTATCTTTATAAACTATTTCATCTTATTGGATGTAACTGAGTACATAAGTAATATTGTGACCTAAATTTCATTCCGTTGGTATTTTGTTAACTCACCACTAAATCTTTAAAGCTAATTTACGTTGCTAGATTTACATTGAATCTATTGTTCTAACTGCTGCATAATGTCTTATGGTATGTATCTACCATCTTTTACTTTTCCATTCCACCTGCAATGGAAACCTGTGTCAAACAATGACATAGTAAACATCCTCGTACTTGACTCCTTAGAGGCCTGAGGAAGAATTCCTTTGGTTTGCATGTCTAAAAGAAAAATTGGTGGCCCATTGGATCTAAATACACTGTTGTCTTTATCCAGCCCCCCTTGTGCATAAATGGCATCCCCATCCTACCTCCTATACTAACTATTGCTGCAGGGACTTGAGCTGGGCAGATCCACAGCTGTAACCAGCTTAGTGCTGTCGTGATACGGTACAACCTTGCTTCTTATTTCCTGCTCTGGGACTTCTCTAAGACAGAGATGCAGAACTCAGGGAACCTGCTCAACACTTATGCCTACACAATTAAATGGGGTAATGGGGAAGAGCAGAGGTTACAGTCCCAAGGCTACTCTTGACCTTTTGGAGGATAGGAGCCAAAGGATAAGTTTGCTTCCTCTTGAATTCCCTTGGGAGAAAGTTCTGAGACATATAGTTCTTAAGACTCTTACCAAGTTCCCTGTGGAATTGAGTGTAAGTTGCCAACACTGGTTGCCAGTTTGGAAACCCATCCTGGTATTGGTTTTCCCTTTTCCCTAATTCAGCCCTGCAGTTCCTCATTCCTGTTCCCTGTTATGACTTCCCCCAATGAATTACCTATAGATAAGCCTTTGTCTCAGCCTCTGTTTTTAGGGGCACCCAAAGTACACGATCCCTAAATACTGCCAGATTGCTATCTAGGGGATCTGGGCCTTAATCTGGGTAGTATGGCCAGCTTCCAACTTGTGGACCAGAAACTGGGCCATTTTAAAACTTCAGAGGGCCACCTTTTAACAAGATGCTGTTCTTCTGCTTAGAAAGTTCCCTAGGTAGGATCTTTCACCCCTGGATCAGTGATTTTTTTTTACATTCACTGCAGTTATTCTCCAAAATATGGTTGTAATATATATACATCCCTTGGTGATTATAAAATACTTCTCACAAACATTGACCTCTGCCTTCATGATTCATGACTTCTAATGCATGGATAGTAGACTCATCCTGGCATGTGCCATACAAGAGTATTAAGAAAATTTCCTTCAAGGGGCACCTGGGTAGCTCAGTCGGTTAAGCGTCCAACTTCTGCTCAGGTCATGATCTCACAGTTTGTGGATTCAAGCCCCACATCTGACTCTCTGCTGACAGCTCAGAGCCTGGAACCTGCTTCAGATTCTGTGTCTCTCTCTCTCTGCCCCTCCCCCACTCATGCTCTGTCTGTCTGTCTCTCTCTCAAAAATGAATAAACATGAAAAAAAAACTTTAAAAAAAGAAAATTTCCTTCTCAATACTTGTTAATAGAGAGATATCGTATGATTTATACTTTCCAGTGACTGGTGTTGCATTCAACTTGTGTCCTAGAAAATGCACTTGTCCTACTGTCACATTTTCACTTGGGTTTACTTAGGAAAAAAATGATCATTTCTTTGAGTGGACATGTGTCAGTGTTAATGTGTGTGTGTGTGTGTGTGTGTGTGTGTGTGTGTGTGTGCGCGCGCGCGCATGCACGCATGCATGTGCGTCAGCTCATTGCATGGGGTGAGTCATCATGAAAAAAGCACAGATCATGACCATCTGGGAGCAAGGTATCAACAGAACTCCCTTAAGGGAATGTGTGTTCCTTCTCACTTGGGAGTAACTTTTAAAAATCTCATATCCCCTTCTGCTTCTGTTATGTGAACAGGTGGTTAATACATACACCCCAGGAAAGAAGATTTGGCTTGAAGGTGTGGTGACCACCTCAGCTGGAGGCACAAACAATCTATCAGATTCTTATGCTGCAGGATTCTTGTGAGTAACACATGCAATTTCATTCCCAGGGACTTTGAGGAAAGAAAGTGTGTTATTCTGCCTATTGGAGGGGGAGGTTCATTTCCTATTGAAAGTTCTTTATCTGTTCCTTTGTGAATGGGTTTAACCCATTCAACAAACAGTGATAAGTGACTTCCCTGGATCCTAAGACGTCAAGCACAGGCATCAGAGCAAAGATAGTAGTAACAGTAGCAGTAGTAGTGACCATAATAGTCATATGACCTTTATTTAATGTCTATAGTTCAAAACACAGTGCAGACAACATACAATTTCTCATCCATTTTTCACCATAGTCCTAGGAAATAGGTAAGAGTAAGATCAGAGGAACAGAAAGAGGAGCTAAGAAAAGGTGTGGGAGATTAGTGCCATAATAATAATAAATAATAATAATTTTAACTATATGTGTTACATGCTTTCTGAAGTGCTCTTTCTATATCTAATAATTTAACAACCAGTGATACAGTTACTATTATTTTACAACAATCCAAAAAGATAGATGTGAGAGCTTTTTTTTTTTTTTTTTTCAACGTTTATTTTATTTTTGGGACAGAGAGAGACAGAGCATGAACGGGGGAGGGGCAGAGAGAGAGGGAGACACAGAATCGGAAACAGGCTCCAGGCTCTGAGCCATCAGCCCAGAGCCCGACGCGGGGCTCAAACTCACGGAGCGCGAGATCGTGACCTGGCTGAAGTCGGACGCTTAA